GATATAATGAATGTAAAACTAATGTTCTCCCATGTAAACTATCACATAATCACAATAAAACATTAAAAAAAAAATTATGTCCCAACAGCGTGAAGGTGGCAGAAATAGCTAGCAATCGTGCACATGAATGCAAAGTTCGCCCCAAAAAACCACTATCCGAAATAATTGGTTTGTATTAGAATCATCTACGTATCAGGCATTGGATTAGGTTCTGGGAACTCTTGATTTTGATCTTGTGAGGGGGACAGACCCACACACAAATAGTAACCAGTGCGCGTAATCAGTGGTTTCCACTGTGGTACCCATGAGAACCAGCTTGTACTTCCTCTAGAGAAATCTACAGAATGTCTGGGAATGTGGCTCAGGCATTTCTGTTTTTAAACCTAGCCCCCCCACATGACCCTAATGCGCAGCCAAGGCTGAGAACTAACACAGGAAGTTTCTGGTGTTAGAAAAGAGTGGCAGGAAGGAGGGCTTAGCCACATGGGTGTGCTTTCTATGTTCTGAGTCCTGGTGTGGCGCTGTGGGTTAACGTGCTGAACTACATGGTCAGTTTGAACCTCAAGGCCTGCAGTTTGATATCACCAGCTGCTCCTTAGAAACTCTGTACAGGGTCGCTGTGAGTCAGAACCAACTTGATGGCATTTAATAACAACAATACCTCTGTTCATGCTCTTTCCTTTGCCCATTCATCTACTTTCCCTCCTAACAAGTGCTATCCATCCTCTAAGGACCAGCTCAAATGCCACCACCCCCTTGTAGACCTTGGGAGAAAGAACTGCTGTCCATGGTGCTCTGAAGTCTCTTCCTCATCGTGTACCCTGGACTACGAGCTACCCAAGGACAGACATGGGTCTGAATCATCTTGGAAGCACTGGTACCAAGCACAATGAAACAACAGTAACTTGTGGGTTCCTTAGCTTAGGCCACTTCATTACAACAAAGACAAGGAAGCAGAAGGACCCATTGAGAGATTGCTAACCCTATAGTCACAGAGATTTTTCTTGCTAGCTTGTGATGGAAAATAGGCAGCTGAGACAAGGGGTTGCTTTCCAAACCCAGAGGACCCCTAAGAATCAGGATGTCCTATCCACACACCATTTCACAGAGCCCAGTCCACACAAGAGGAGCCAGAAGTAGCGTCATGCCCTCACCTTCATGCCGATCTCCTAGTTCTGGGAGGAAAATGACCCAGGGCACTGATGGGGATTGATTAAATGGGACTGCCAAGAATCATGGCAATGAAATGAAAAAGATAATTGTAATGGAGACACTAACTAACTAGCTTGAATTTTACCTCATCCAGAAGTGAGATTTAGAGTTACAAATTGGGGAGTCAAAAAATGCTACTAAAGATTGAAACAATCTTCCTCTCCTGTTTGGAAACATTTATTGGCTTGTTACCAGTTTAAGAGTCTGGCATTATTATCTCCCAGAAACAATCTTGGTAAGTTTGACTCTGCTCCAATTTGACTTATTTTCCTAAAATGACAGAAATACCCAGCAGTTCGATCGATGTATGCCGTCCATAGCCGCCTAGTTCACAGTGACTTGGGTGACAGCCACAGCAAGAGCCAGGCTGCATTCAGACAGGGACATGTAGACACACCTCGTCCAGCGGACCAGCTTGGCCATCTCCTCAAGGCCGGAGCACTGCTGCAGGCACCACACCGCTGCAAGGGAGGCCAACTTGCTCCAGTAAGGTATGCTAACAAAAGCCCCTGGCAGCCCTTCTCCTCCAGCCCTTCCATTTGCTAAATCTCCTCTGGAGCTCTTAGTGACAGCTGGGTCAGGAGGAAGAGAAAGGAGTCCCCATCACACTAAGAGACAATCAGGGAGGAACCAATTCTGCTCCGGGCTGTGGCAGGAATGTGTGAATCCACCAACTCCAGGGGCTTTCCTGAAGGTGCTGCTTCCAGGTCATGCATTTAGCTAAGAGCATGAGCGGTGTGCCCCAGAGACCCCAGGTATGTACGCCTGGAATCTTTACAAACTGGGGTTGGATTTTAGTTTCCAGTTTATCATATCCTTCATTGTTGTCAAATGTCACCAATTAGTTCTAATTCATGGTGACCCTCTACAGGGTTTCCAAAGAGCAACTGGTGCATTTAGTGGTCTAGTACTTATCCTGCAGCACACCTGGGCTTTTGGTTTATACCATGAACAGGGAGTCCTGGTGATGCATGGTTAAAGCATTCAGCTGCCAACTGAAAGGTTGGTGGTTCAGACCTATTACCCACTTCATGGATGGAAGATGTGGCAGTCTGATTTTGTAAAGGTACCATCTTGGAAACCCTATACGGTCACTATGAGCTGAAAAATAATAATGGATTTTATGGTTATCCTACTAAAATGCTATTTTACAATATGAAGATTTATGATTCACATGCATATTATTCACCAAACAACAAAAGTTGTTGTTAAGTGCCATCGAGTCAGTTCCAACTTATAGTGACCCTGTATAGGGTTGTCGAAGAGCAGCTGATGAGCCTGAACGGCCAACCTTGCAGAGTAGTGTATTAGTGCACAGTGCCACACCAGAGCTCTAAATGGGAAAAAAAAAAGCATAAAAAGTAGAAGATGTGCATAAGGCAGACAGGAGAAGAAGTGATGCTTTAGAAATACGGTGTTTGTGAAGGCAGAGAACAAACAAATCATCGAAGTGGTATGGTCAGAATGCTCCTTAGAAGCCAGGATGGCAAGATGTTCTCTCTTAGACTTCAGACACATTATCAGGAGGGGCCGGTCCCTGGAGAAGGACAGCA